AGCAGAAAGCCTCATCTTTCGCCTGCAGAACAGCTGGTAATTTCAAACTGCTGACCGTGAGATTAGCAGCCAAATTCGTAACCACTACACTTGTTGTTGTTGTTGTGAACTGCCGTCGAGTCAGTTCCGACCTACAGCAACCCTGTGTAGGGTTTCTGAGGAGCAGCTGGTGAACTTGAACTGTCGACCTTGCAGTTCAAACGGCTTTGCAGTCTGGCGCATTAACCCACAGCACCACACCAGGACTCCTAACCACTACACTAGGGGCTGGCAAACTACATCCCTAAGCCAGATTTGGCCCGCAACCTCCTTTGCAAATAAAGTTTTATTGACACACATCCATGCCCATTTCTTCCTTGATTGTGTATGGGTGCTTTCAGTCTACAATGGCAGAACTGAGTAGTTGTGACAGAGAAAATATGGTCCACAAAGCAAGCTGGCCCTTTGAAGAAAAGTTTGTTGATGCCTGGTGTGTAATGTCAACATGACCAGCATCTTGTGGAAGACTTTCAGAGCATTCTTATGCTGACAAAGTCTCTGTGCTTTTCCTGTCTTAAAAGGGCAGGTTTCCAGTGCTCTGCTTATCCTACAATCCCACAACAGAACTTCTGGCAACATAGTAAGTTCTCAGTAAATATAGAATAAGTGCTTAATACGTTTTGTCATTGTTTTATTATTATGTGGTGGTGGTTATGTGCTATGCAGTCGGTTCCAACTCATAGCAACCCTGTAGAGGGTTTCTGAGGCTGTAAATCTTTACAGGAGCAGAAAGCCTCATTTTTCTCCCAGGGAACAGCTGGTTGTTTTGAATTGCTGACCTTGAGGTCCACAACCTGATTCATAACCACTATGCTACCAGAGCTCCTTTATTATGTGTTAAGTGTCAGGAAAAAAAGAAAATAAATAACCCTTCTGTGGTCTGGAATGACCCTCTGGTTTTATTAAATATGTGGGAATTGTGTTTTCTGTTCTTTTGTACCCCCTATTGAAATTGGCATGTCACAGAATAAAGCAGTACTTAATTAATACGAGGGGGCTTTCTGAAGCCCCCTCATACTTGGCAAAAAAAGAGGAAAGATTTCCTCTTGAGGAGTGAGGAAAGGTGAGAAAGGAAAGGAAGTGGGGTGGACCCTCAGCTTGAGCCACTTGACATTCCTTCTGGCCTGACTGTCCGGGTCCAGCCTTACCATGTGTGAGGTAGTCATGGCGGAATGCTTGGTCAATGTTGACTGTCTACTTGGTGTCAGTCCAACTTCTCCTTTGGGTGTCTGTGGCCATAACTGAGACATCTCTGGAAGTTGAGGGTTTTTGTTTTTTTGTTTTTTTGAACTGAAATACACATATCATAAAACAAATCAGTTCAAAGTAAACAACCTGAAGCATTTATCCTGGTGTGGCGCTGTGGGCTAATGAGTCAGACTGCAAAGTCATTTGAACTGCAAAGTTGGTGGTTCAATCTCACCAGCTGCTCCTTGGAAACCCTATACAGAGTCGCTATGGCTCAGATTCGACTCGACGGCACCTAACAACAACAACAATACATTTACAATGTTTTGCAATAACCACGTCTATCAAATTCCAAAACATCTTCATCTCCCCAAAGGGAACCCCGAACCCATCCAGCTGTCCCTCCCTAAAGCCCATTCAGCTCAACCCCTGGCTCCCACCAATCTACTTTCTCTCTTTGGGTTTACCCTTTCTGGATATTTCAGATAACATGTGGCCTTTTGTGTCTGATTTCTTTTAATAAATATGTTTTTGAGTCTCATTCACATTTTAGCAAGTAACAGAATTTCATTCCTTTTATGTTGATTCATTCATTCTGTTTATGGACATTTGGCATGTTTTAACCACTGTGAGTCATGTTGCAATGAACATTTGTTCGTGGTGGTGTGAAGTGCCGTCAAGTCTGTTCCGATCCATAGTGACCCTGTATAGAGTTTCCGAGGAGTGAATGAACCACTGACCTTGTGGTTTAAATGACTTTGCAGTCCAATGCATTAATCCCCAGCACCACACTAGTGTGCGTATATCTATGTCTGTTTTTCAGTTCCTTTTGTTATATACCTAAATCATGCTGGGTCATAATTCTATGATTACCTTTCTGAGACACCATCAAACTGCTTCATAATCACCTAAACATTTTACATTTTCACCAGCAGGTATGAAGATTCCAATTCTACCACATTCTCATCAATGATTTTTAATGGCTTTACCAGATTGGACAGTGAAGGTCCTTCCTTACATAGCCCTTTTCCAATTTCAAAATGAATAAAGGACTTTAGACATTTCTCCAATAAATACAATAAAATATTATTTTTCATTTTTTATTACAATCATCTTGCTGTTGTTAGGTGACACCAGTTGGTTTCAACCATAAAAACTTTATACACAACAGAATACACAGCTCTATACACAACAGAATACACAACTCTATACACAACAGAATACACAACTCTATACACAACAGAATACACAACTCTATACACAACAGAATAAAATGCTGCCCAATTTGGCGCCATCTTCACAGTTGTTATATTGGAACCCATTGTTGCTGCCACTGTGTAAATCCATCATGTCCATGTCGAGGGGTCTGCTCTTTTTTGCTGACCCTCCACTTTATCAGACCTGATGTCTAGTGGTGTGAAGTGGTAGCTCATTGTGGTTTTAATTTGCACTTCCTTCTCTCATACTTCGGACAGATTGTCAGGAGGGACCAGTCGCTGGTGAAGGATATCATGTTTGGTAAGTTGGAGGGTCAGAGAAAAAGAGGAAGACCCCCAATGAGATGGGCTGGCCAAGTGGCAGCATTGATGGACTCAAGCGTGGCAACAGTAGTGAGGTTGGCCCAGGATTGGGCAGTGTTTCGTTCTGCTGTGAATAAGGTCGCTACCGACTCAATGGCACCTAACACCAACAACGAGTCCTTAAGGAGCTCTGGTAGTGTAGTGGTTGTGAGTCGGGCTGCCAACCACAAGGTCAGCAGTTCGAAACTACCAGCTGTTCTGTTGGAGAAAGATGAGGCGTTCTAATCCCGTAAAGATTTACAGCCTCGGAAACCTTGTATAGGGTCGCTATGTGTAGGAACCGACTCCACAGTACTTAACAACAACAATGAATCCTGATGTGGTGCTGTAGGTTAATGCGCCAGACTGCAAAGCCGTTTGAACTGCAAGGTCAGCGGTTCAAGCTCACTAGCTGCTCCTCGGAAACCCTGTACAGGGTCGCTATGGGTCAGAACCGACTCGATGGCACTTCATAATAATAACAATGAGTCCTTCATGAGCTCTGATAGTGTATGGCTTATGGTCGGCCTGCTCAAGGTCAGCAGTTTAAAACTATCAGCCATTCCGTGAGAGAAAGATGAGGCTTTCTGCTCCCATAAAGATGTATAGACTCAGAAACCCTATGCAGGGTCACTATGAGTCGCAACCGATTCCATGGCACAAATCCACCACCACCACCACCACCAATGGAGTCCTTGGAATCCTGATATGCACTGTAGGATAAAACACTGGACCTCAAGTATAGTTGAACCACAAGATTGGTGGTTTGAATTCACCAGTTGCTCCTGAAAACCCTATATAGGGTCCCTATGAGTCAGAACAGACTCGACAACCTTGGAGTCGTAAGGAGTCCTGGTAGGGCGCTACAGGATAAGCACTAGATCACAAGGTCGGTGGTTTAATCCCCCCAGCCGCTCCTCGGAAACCCTATACAGCGTCACTATGGATCAGAACCGACTTGATGGCACTTAACAACAACAATGCTGTGAGTTAATGTGCCAGACTGCAAAAGCCGTTTGAACTACAAGGTAAGTGGTTCAAGCTCACCAGCTGCTCCTTGAAAACCCTATACAGGGTCGCTATGGGTTGGAACGACTCGACGGCACTTAACAATAACAGCAAGGAGTCCTGGTGTGGCACTGTAGGATAATCACTAGACTGCTAACTGCTTTTCAGAAACCCTATACAGGGTCACTATGAGTCAGACTGATTTGCAGCACTTAACAACAACCACTACTAATGATTGCTGGCATTTTTCCATAAGCTTTTTGGCCATTTTTGTATCTTTAGATAAATCTCAGTATCAACAGGGAGTTTCAGAAGTCCTCTGCCCATTCAATAAAAAAGGTGTTTGCTGCCACCTGGTGGCAGTTGCCTGCTCCAGTTTCTATATCAGTAGGGACAATTCTGGGTTACAAATCTGGTGGGCACTTTGAGCCATTTAATTGTTACCCATTTTGTTAGCTGGAGTGGGTTGGGTTGGTAGAGCCCTATCCTCCACCTCTTATAATCCTGAAATGGGATGTGTTGTCTTTCATTCCCTAACCAGCTTCAACCCTCCCTGTATTGCCCATGTCCTCCTGTGTTGTTGTTGTTAAGTGCTGTGAGTCGGTACCGACTCACAGCAACTCTGTATAGGGTTTCCGAAGAGCGGCTGGTGAGCTTGAACCACTGACTTTGTGGTTCAAACTGACCTTGCAGTCCAGTGCTTTATTTAACCCACAAAACCACACCAGGACTCCATGTCCTCCTTAGAAGGTAAGAATTTTTTTCACTCCTAATTGAGGATGGGGGAGAGAGACTAGATGGAGAATAGTAGCCAAGCCTATGTTACCTGAAATTATAGTGGATTTTTACTCTATTGATTATAAGAATTTGGGAAGACTGGTGGGCAGCGTATAGGTGTTGTTGCTCACCCCCAATCACTGCTTGATCATGTGAACACAGTTGGCTCCCAACACCCTCCTTTATACTACTTTATTTATGTGGGCCCAGCATCCCCTAGTGCACTGGGTATGATCTCCCATACCTTCTTCCTCACCTCAAGGGAGAAAGGGGAGCAGAAGCCCATCCAGAGCACTTTGAGGAGGCCAAAGGAAGCCCCTGGGTTTCCCGGGGGAAAGAGCAGATGGTGCAAAGACAGCTACAAGTCCCCTCTGCTCCAGGTCTACAAACAGCTGTGCAGAGAACACACTGTCTTTCTGTTCCCTACAGGCAGCCCTGGAGTGTCTGTACCATCGCGAGAAAAGGATCGGGATTGATTTGGTCCATGACAACGTGGAGAAGAACCTCCTTCAGGTAAGGTGTCTTGTTGGTCTGTCCAGTGCCCTGAGGAAAGGCGGAGGCAACTGATCAGAGATGTTTCTTAGCTGCCTACTGGGAACTGAAGGCCCATGTGTCCCCCATGAAAGCCAGAGCTCAGAAAACATGGGTGGGAACCTATACTGCCGTTGAGGGAATGGGATAAATAGAGGCATTTGATCCTCAGCCTTTTCACCTGAAAAATGGGCATACTAATAATTATATCCATAAGTAATAGCCATATAAATTAGTGTTCATTGAGCACCTACTATGTGCCATGCACTGAGCCAATTCATACGTATTATTTGATTTAATAATAAAATCATCTGTAAGCGAGTGTTTGGCACATAGGGGGTGCTTAATTGTTTTTTAGTCTGGAAGTAGATGAAAATAAAAGAAGGGCAAGTGGGCTATCTAAGGTTTAACTCTTGGTCTCTACTCATATGGAGCCAAAGAGAAAGAAGGAAACCAAACACTCAAAGATGAAACCAGTCTACCGGACAGTCTACATGAACCATGGCCTCCTCTCCCCTGAGACCACCTGACTGCCACAACTGTGCGCTCTATTCAGGATCACAAGAGATGAATCCTGATAGAATGGGAGGAAAATGTGCAACAAAGCTTCACATTCCTCAAAACAAAAACGAGACCTACTAGACTGTTGAGACTAGAGATCCTCTCCAAACCTTGAGCCCAAACATAATCCCTGAAAACACCTTGTGGTTAAACAACAGATTGGCTCGAAAATGAATGAATATGATCTGTAAGTATTGTGCTCCTTTAAACAGTCATGGTTATGAAACCCAAGATGAGGATGTAAAGAGGTAGGGAAGCTAGATTGTTGGAAACAGAACAACCGGAATGAAAATGAGAATGGTCACATGTTGTGAAGAATGTAATCAGTATCACTGAACGATTTGTGTAGCAATTGTTGAATCAGAACCTACACCTTTGTGAAAACCTTCACCAAAAACATAATAAAGTATTATTTAAAAATTAATTACAATTCTTTTAAAAGCAGGTCAAAGAATGTGCCTACAGCTCCCATAATAGGTCTTAGTTGCTGGGCCACAGGATCACTTGGGTTGAGGGCTGGTGGTCCTGACCTGGGAGACAGGTTGCTATAAGTTTCTAAGATGCTCAGCTCTTTCCAACATTCATCCTTTCAGGAGGTGGATTTGTTAAAATGTTGCCAAGAACAGCTGAGAAAACTAGCTCAGAGAATTGACATCCAGATGCGGTAAGAGCTCCTTTCCCTCCACATCCCTTGGTGTTTGTTACGGATTCCCAGATTTGGGGGGAAACCAGACAAGCCCCTTTCGGTCATTTCGGTGATTCTTTCGGTCAGTGATGGTGGTAGTAGTTATGTGCCATGGAGTCGGTTCCGACTCATAGCGACCCTGTACAGGGTTTCTGAGGCCGAAATCTTTACAGGAGCAGAAAGCCTTATCTTTCTCCCACAGAACAGCTGGTAGTTTTGAACTGCTGACCTTGTGGTTCGCAGCCCGATTCATAACCGTCAGTGATACGTGCTGGTAAATGTTCTCCCGGGGGGATGGGGCAAAAGCTCAGATGTGCAGACTTTGCCCACTATTATTAGTTGTGGTTGAGTTGTCTCCAGCTCCTGGTGATGTCAGGCATCACAGACGCAAACACCGTCCTGTTCCGCGCCGTCTTCAGGATGGCAGAGAGGCTTGAGTTGAGTCCATTGTTGCAGCCCTGAATATTCAGAGTGTCTTCCCATCTAAGGCACTCATCTTTTAACACTCTATCCGAAATATTCTGGCTTGCTCCACAGGGTTTTCACTGACTGATTTTCAGAAGTAGATTGCTAGATCTTTCTCTGTAGTCTGTCTTACTTGAGGAACTCTACTATAACCTGTCCACCATGTATGGTATTGGAAATACCGGTGACATAGCTTCCAGCATTATAGCAACACATAGGCCACGATGGAACAAGAAACTGAGAGACAGGGGATGCCAATGACTGTGGTGTAAATCTTCTCACCACGACTGAGTTCAAGCTACCAACTTGATGTTGCTGAGACCTTCACAATGGAGTTTCATGAGCCAGCTCTTCACTGGCTGTTCTTGTTGCAAGGAGAGCCCTACAAAAGGAAATGGACCTCACTGAGCTCTTAGCCCATGCCTTTTATGAATCTTGGGAAATGCAGAAGGTGGGTGGCATTAGGCAGTAAGGCAAGGGGCCAGGGCATCTCCAGAGGGGAGCGGGTGGACGCTTTGAGCCCGGAGTCTTCAAAAGACATCAGCTTTTGTTCTTGAACGATTATGCAACTGGTATCATGACAAGCCAGAAGGCTCTTCTCATAATTAAAGGGAGACTTGAAGTTTACAGGGCTTGCATCCGTAACTAAGCCCTTGGTACCCCACTTCTCCTGAGGCAGCCTCCCACCTGGCTCTTGCGCTGGGCACTCACCTTTAACTCTTTCAAGGCACGCTGCTCTGCGGGTTTCTCCTCTTTGTTTATTCTCGGCCACGGAGACACAGACACAGGCAGACACCCAGAGACACGGGTGGTCTGGGGGGGGGGGCAGGGGGCAATGCGCCAAGCTGGCAAATGGGAAGCATAGTGCTTTTGTGTGCCTTGCTGTGCCTCCAGGGGTGGATCACCCAATAAGCAAGGCAAGTACAGACTGACTAATCTATAGCGAACAATTTCCCACTGGTTTCAACACACGTAACTGCTCACCACAGATTAGTTAGCAAGCACAAGTCAGCCTCTGCTTAACCTAGATGACGAGGTCCTCTGTCCCTGGCAGAGATGGTACATTGGAAATGAGGCTTTGATTCTGTAGGACGGTGCTGTGGGGTGGGGAGAGAGACGCGTGCCAGCTAGACCCGGGAGCAGAATCTTTGAGGTAGCATAAAACATGTGCAGTGGTTCATTAGTCAGCCTGTGCTTCCTTTGTTTATCGGGTCCTCTGACACGGTGTGCCCAGAAACAGCAGTCCTTGTCCTCAGCGCAGGAGTCTCCTCTGAGGGGCATGAGGGACTCATCCAGGATAAAAGAGTGTCCGGGGCAGACTTGAGAAGGGGAAAGATGTTTCTGAGAAGCCATTGGCAGATAAAGGGTGTGGTCCAGGGAAGGTCACTGTGGAAAGACCCAAGAGGACATCAGAGGGGAAGGTTCTTGAAGGAGAAGTATATACTGATGCCATGGCCAACGGACCTGTTGAACAGACAAAAGCAGGACTGGGTCTCAGTCCTAATGCTTCCAATCCCATACACCACCTGGGTTATAGTTCATTTCCTGTTTGCCTCTGCCACTCATCTGTCATGTGTCCTACTGGTAACTTGCATGTTGCTGTAATGTTGGAAGCTGGGCCAACCAGTATCTCAAATATGACGTGAAAACAATGTGGCTTCCAAAACTTCATGGGAAAATTACACTATCTTTTCATTCCTTTTTTTTTTTTTCAAACATTTTGAAGCCCCCTTTGTACCTGCAGGGTCATCCATGGTAGACAGGTTTCAGTAGAGCTTCCAGACTAAGACGGACGAACACAGTCCTGGCAACCCCCTTTGGAAAATTATTGTTGTTGTTAAGTGCCATGGAATCAGTTCCAACTCATAGTGACCCTGTGTAAGGTTTTTGAGGAGTGGCTGGTGAGGTTGAACCACTGACTTTTCAGTTAGTAGTCCAGTGCTTATCCTATGAAGCCACCCCAGGACTCCTATGGCGCATAGTGGAGTATTTTCTAACATACTAGTGCTAGAAGATGAAGGAGCTCTGGTAGCATAGTGGTTACGAATTGGGCTGCTAACCTCAGGGTCAGCAGTTTGAAACTACCAGCTGTTCCATGGGAAAAAGATGAGGCTTTTTCTGCTCCTGTAAAGATTTACAGCCTCGGAAACCCTGTACAGGGTCGCTATAAGTTGGAACCGACTCCACAGCACATAACAACAACAACAGTGCTAGAAGATGAGCCTCTAGGTTGGAGAGCATGACACATTCAGTACAACAATAGGTTCACACATGCCCCCCATCATGAAACTGGCCCGAGACCAGGCACTGTTTCATTCTATTGTACATGATGTCACCAGAAATCAGAGTTGACAACCACTAACACCAGCAACAATGTGAATCAAATCAATTTGCTTAAAAAAAAATAAAAATAAAAAACTTAAATTATTTTATTTAAACAAGAAAGTTGTAACAAAAGGGGGAGCTCTGGGCAGGCAAAATTTACTTCACTGTATTTTTTTTTGCGTTTCTTCTCATGATCACCTACTTATGGCAAGAGAGGGTGGTTTTTCCATTTGCAGTGGAGAGAGGGATGTGGCAAAGCTTGGGCTGGAGGACAGGGGAGGATTGGAGTTTAGGCTGGTGGGTAGATTGAGCTGGCAGGGCAGACAAAAACCCTGGCTGAAAATTGAGGAGCTGTGTGAGGAAGGCTGAACCATAGAGGAGATACTCTGAGACCTGGTACATGAAGTCAAGGGTGGGGGAGCTGGGAGAACCATTGACGAGGACAGTCACAGAGACAGAAAGAGAATGAGAGATGCTGAGATGGAGTAAGACAGAGAGAAAAAGAGAGACACAAAGGTAAACAGGGACAGAGATAGAGGACAGGGAACCAGACAAGAAAGACAGAGACACTGAGAGAGATAGACAGATACTGGACAACGAAGGATATCAAGAGGTGAGATGGAGACCGGGTCAGAGAAAGAGGAGAGGCTGGGCCGGGCTGTGGAGAAGGGGGAAGGGAGGAGGTGCTGGGGTTGGGATAGAGATGACAGGACACTGAGAGGGAGGGATCAAGGCAGGAGGGCAGGGGAGAGCTGGCGGAGAGCTGGAGCCATCAGGGAATACCTGTCCTCAGAGGGTGAAGCCTCCTGCTTCTGAGAGGCCATGTTGCAGGACCCCTAAGTTACCTAGAACTGACCAGTGCCTCTTTTGCTGGGCAGAATTCTGGGCTGACTGCTCAGGTTGCTGCCTTGGTGGTCTCCTATAGTATTTAACAATGGTAGTCTCCTATAATAGTTGACAATGGTGGTTTCCTTTAATATTTAACAGTGGTGGTCCTGGGCAGGGGACTAGGGTTTTCAGACACTTTGTGTCTGAGCAGGGCTGTGTCCTTGCTGCACCAGGTACCCTTGTGATCTGCTGGTTGCTTCTAGCCAAGCAGAAAAGATTGTTCCTGACGAGACAGCAGTACACAGAGGCTCGTCCTAGCAAGCAGTGACTGCCCACCGTGGCTATCCCCACTCCTCCACAGCGGAGAGCTCCATGGTGGTTCCTGACCTGGCCCTTGTCCGTCCCGACAAGAAGGACCCGCCATTGGGACCAACTGTTCCTTGTTCCTGGCCTGCTTAAAACCCCTGCCAACTCCCATTAGCCACAGCAGAAAAAGGAGGGAACAAAAGAGACAGATAACCTGGAGAACAGGATGTTGAGTGAACTGAGTCAATCATAAAAGGATAAATATTATAGGAGACCACCATTGTCAACTATTATAGGAGACTACCAAGGAGCTCTGGTAGCGTAGTGGCTACGAATCGGGCTGCGAACCTTAAGGTCAGCGGTTCGAAACTACCAGCCGCTCCGCGGGAGAAAGATGAGGCTTTCTACTCCCGTAAAGATTTACACCCTCGGAAACCCTGTACAGGGTCGCTATGGGTCGGAACCGACTCGACGGCACTTAACAACAACAACAACCATTGTTAAATATTATAGGAGACCACCATTGTCAACTATTATATGAGACCACCATTGTTAAATATTATAGGAGATCACTATTGTTAAATAAGGAGCTCTGGTAGTGTAGTGGTTAAGAATCAGGCTGCTAACCTCAAGGTCAGCAGTTCGAAACTACCAGTGGTTCTGTAGGAGACAGACGAGACTTTCTGCTCCTGTAAAGATTTACAGCCTCAGAAACCTTATACAGGGTCGCTATGAGTCAGAACTGACTCCACAGTCCATAGCCAACCAACCAGATGGTTAAATAGGAGTCCTAGCGTGGCACTGTGGGTTAATGTACTGGACTGCAAGGTCACTTTGAATTGCAAGGTTCAAGCTCACCAACCACTCCTTGAAAACCATCTATGGGGTTGCTGTGAGTCAGAAGTGACTCCACTGTACTTAACAACAACAACTATTGTCAAATACTATATGAGATCACTGTTGCATTTAGCATGAAAAGAAAAGGTTTTCATACTAAAATAAACCTCCTTTGATGATTACTAGGGAAGGAACGGGAGGAGAGTAACTCACTGGCTAGAGGGGAGACATGTGTTAGGGATGGCAACATACAAGAGGGAGGTTGGCAGAAGAAAGATGAAGGCAGGGAGGACACAGGGAGGCGGGCAAGAGTTAAAGGTAATAAAGGTGTTGTTGTTGTTGTTGTTAAGTGCTGTCTAGTCAGTCCCCACCCACCCATAGTCACCCTGTATAGAGTTTCCAAGGAACAGCTGGTGGGTTTGAACTGCTGACCTTTCAGTTAGCAGTCTACTGCTTATCCCATAGCACCACACTGTTAACTGATGGTATATGGAGGGAATTATAATCAAGGAAATGAAATGAAGCATATGATTCATTGAATGTGAAACTGATGATCTGCTCTATAAACCTTCACTCAAGTCACAATTAAAAGTTGAAAAAAAAAAAGGACAGATAGAGAGATGGGGAGGGGGAGGGAGACAGAGACCCTGAGACAAAGAAACCAAGAGAGATGAGTCAGAGAGAGACAAAGATGAGAGAGATAGACAGACAGAGAGAGGAGAAACACATGGAGAAAGGGAAGAGAGAGAGGGTTATGAGGTGTGTGTGAGTTTGTGCCTTCAACTCATTTCCATTGCCCCGTCTCCAAGTGGACTCCAACTCATAGCGATTCTGTAGAACAGAGGAGAACTGCTCCGTGGGCCTTCCAAGGCAACGAGCAGATAGCCTCATCTTTCTTCTTTGGAGCAGCTCGTGGATTTGAACTGTTGACACTGTGGTCAGCAGTCCAACGTCTAATCCACAAAGCCACCAGGGTTCCATCAACTCATTTAGGGAGCATTATTGTTATTTCTGGTGTGGTGCTACAGGATAAGCACTGGACCACAAGGTCTGTGATTCAAACTCAACAACTGCTTCTTAGAAAACCCTATACAGGGCTGCTATGAACCATAACTGACTTGATGGACTTTAACAACATCAACAACATTCTAAATGGCAGGCGTCTGGGTGGCACAAATGGCCAAGCACTCAACTACTAGCCGAAAGGTTGGCAGTTTGAACCTACGCAGGGGTACCTCAGAAGAGAGGCCTGGTGATCTACTTCCTGAAGGTCACAGCCTTGAAAACCCCGTGGAGCAGTTCTACTCTGCACACACGAGGTCGTCATGAGTCAGAACTGACTGGACAGGCAACCAACAACAAGAACATTCTGGGCATCAGCAGATCTACTTGGATTGGGGAGAGGGTAGAAGAGTGGGGTGTACCTAGGTACATGGTGACATGGTGGAGCCATCAAGAAGGAAGGAGGACAGTAAGCAGAAAAGCCTTCCTGGGAGTCCAATTCCTACGACTGACTCAGAGTGAAGAATTCTGGGTCACTCTGAACTGAGAGACACTCCTTCTCCTTTGCAGGGATAACCGAGATGCTCAGCACGCTCTGGAGAGGGACCTCGAGGGTAAAAGCTCAGCCCAGTTTATTGACGAGAAGTGCTTTAACCTGAGGAACACATCAGACAGCATCAGCTTCTTCCACGGAATGGAGAAAGTCGACGGCACGTAAGTACCGGGCTCTCAGTCCCCATCTCCGGTGGGGCTGATAGGGACAGGTTTCTGAGTTTGCTCTGGCCAAGGAACAATCTGGGCGATGGGAAGGGTCGAGCACAAGTCAGGTGAGAGGCAGGCTGGTTGACTGAGAATCCTTGGTTACAAGCGACAAAATCCAGTTCTGGCTAACTCCAGACAAAATGGAAATTACTAGAAGGCTGGAGAGCCCCGCTTGAGGGAGCTCATCAGACATATTTCCATATCAGTTCCCTTGGGCTGCTATAATGAATTAGCACAAACTAGATGGGTTAAAACAACAGAAACATATTGTCTCGCAGTTCTGAAGTCTGAATGCAGGCTGTGTGGGCAGCGTTATGGTCTCTCAAAGGCTCTAGGGGCCACTCCTTCCTTGGTTTTTTTAGTGTCTAGTGGCCGCAGGCATTCCTTGGCTTGTAGCAGCATCACTACAAATCTCTGCCTCTGTCATCACATGACTGTCTTCCCTCTGGGTATGTGTGGGAATCTTTGCATCTTTTCTCTTTCATAAGGATGCCTGTCATATTGGATTAGGTCCCACCCTACTCCAATATGATTTCATGCCAACTTAATAATTCCATCTTCCAAAGACCCAATTTCCAAATCAGGTCACTTTCACCTGAGTTAGGACTTGAACATATCTTTTGTGGGAGAAATATCATCCAATTCATAAAGTCCCACACTTTGTTCAAGATCCAAATTCCAGAAAGAGAGAGCAACTCAATACAGTTGAGTTAGTGAAAATCACATGGCCACCACAGCCCAGCACTTACACTTTGGGAAAGCACATAACCTCATATGTATGCGAAAACTGGACAGTAAATAATGAAGGCCATAGAAGAATTGATGCATTTGAATTATGGTGTTGGAGGAGAATATTGAAAGTGCCAAGGACTGCCAAAAGAACCAATAGATCCATGTTGGAAGAAGTGCAGCCAGAGTGCTCCTTGGAGGCCAGGATGGCCAAACTTCGTCTCTCATACTTTGGACATATTGTCAGGAGGGACCAGTCACTAGAGAAGGACTTCATGTTTGGTAAGGTGGAGGGTCAGAGAAAAACGGGAAGACCCCCAGCAAGATGGATTGGCCAGGTGGCAGCATCGATGGACTCAAGCATGGCAGCAGTAGAGAGGTTGACCCAGAATTGGGCAGTGTTTCATTCTGCTGTGCATAAGGTTGACTATGGGTTGGTACCGACTCGATGGCACCTAACAACAACAACAACAAACGTCACTTCCCTGAGCCCCCGTTTCCTCATATGTACCTTTGGAACAAAGCAGTCTCCACCTCCCAGGGTTGCTGTGAGGAGGACAAAGTGGGCCTTCCAGGTCTAAGACCCTTGTTGATGGGTGTCAGGTGCTGCGGAGTGTGTTCAGATTCATAGTGACCCCATGTACCTCAGGATGAGACACTGCAGGTCCTACGCCATCCTCACTATCATTGCTATGCTTGAGTCCATTGCTGCAGCCACTGTTTCAGTCCATCTCACACGGGGGGAATGAATACACCTGACACATATGGAGTGTGCTTTCGGCATGCCTGGCACTCTTGTATGTGACCTCGTTCTCTGTCATGGCGGTACTGTCGTGGGCACGTCACAGTCTTATCAGATTTCCTCCAGAGCTAAGATGTACATTACCCATCTGCAGTACAAGGTCTGGGGTAATGAAGGCTGGAGAGAGAGACACACTGGGTACAGGCAGAGGGCTATCTCTCTGTCATTTTAAAGAAAATTTTTAGCACATAGTAGGGCTGCAATAAGGAGTTCTGGTAGCATAGTAGTTATGAATCGGGCTGTGAACCTTAAGGTCAACAGTTCGAAACTACCAGCTGTTCCACGGGAGAAAGAGGAGGCTTTCTGCTCCCATAAAGACTTACAGACTCAGAAACCCTGTACAGGGTCGCTATTGGTCGGGATCGACTCAACAGCACTTAACAACAACAACAACAACAGGGCGGCAATAGCTACTTGTTCAATGAATAAAATGGACAACAAAAGGAGAGAGGAACGAAGTCCCTTGATTGTTTCCTTGGGATTGCTTTCTGGATCATAGTGACTGTGATGCTGAGATGTCCCTTGAGGATTTCATTAGTGATAATTAACTCAGGGGGACCCTTTCTACCAGATTTCCCACCCCCACCCCCCAATGGTGCTGTGGAGGTGAATGAAACTTAAAGGGCTTGGTTCCCTTCTCAACCATAGATGCTCATCAGGACTAGAATCCGAGGCGCTCCCTCACTAAACAGATGCCTCCCTGAAAATCTGGCAACTGGAGGAGACTCCGATTTCCATGCCCAGGAGGAGCTGCAATTTCAAGGTCTCATTTAGTGTCTGCTGGGAGAGAGCTGCTGTTTACAATGATTAACTGCTCCCCTGATGTGCCAATGCAGGACTTGGCAGTTGGGGTTTTCCTAAGACAGGGCTACGTCTGGGCAGGTTAAAGAGGGCATTTGAAGTCTGTTTCATGGCAGTGTCTCTGTTCCCCAGAGTTCTCATTACCAAGGATGAATTCATCAACTATAATAATAAAGACTGCCAGAAAAACCAACAAATCTGTCTTGGAAGAAGTACAGCCAGAATAGAACATTTCTTAGAGGCAAAGATGGCAAGACGTGACTTCGTCTCACATATTTCAGACATGTTATTAGGAGGGACCAGTCCCTGGAAAAGGACACCATGCTTAGTAAAATAGAGGGTCAGTGAAAAACAGGAAGATACATAAAGGCAATGGTGGCTACAACAGTGCGCTCAAATGTAACAGTGATTCTGAGGCTGGCCCAGGACCAGGCAGTGATTCGTTCTGTTGTATGTAGTGTCACTATGGGAAGAACCGACTCGATGACACCTAACAGCATCCACATTAATAATGATGTTGTTGTTGTTAAGTGCCTTTGAATTACTTCTAACTTGTAGTGACCCTGTATAGGGTTTCTGAGGAGCGGCTAGTGGGTTTGAACCACTGACCTTTCAGTTAGAAGTAGAGTGCTGATCCTACAGCGCTACACCAGAACTCTATAATAATGTTGTTGTTGTTGTTGTTGTTGTTAAGTGCCGTCGAGTCAGTTCCGATCCAAAGCAACACTGTATAACGTTTCCAAGGGGTGAATGGTGAGCTTGAACTGCCGACCCTGCAGTTCAAACCGACTTTGCAGTCTAGTGCAACAACAGTAGATACCTTTTACCTGATGTTTACTTTGTGCCAGCCACTGTACTTCGAAGCCAGGTGGCCAGACTTTGTCTTTCATACTTGGGACACATTATCAGGAGGGACCAGTCCCTGGAGAAGGATATCATGCTTGGTAGAGTGGAGGGCCAGTGAAAAAGAGGAAGGCCCCCAATGACATGGATTGGCACAGTGGCAACAGCAATGGGGTCAAGTGAGGCAAAGATCGTGAGGTTGGTGCAGGACTGACTGGGCAGTGTTTTACTCTGTTTTGCATAGGGTCACTATGAGTTGGTACCAACTCAATAGCACCTAACAACAACAACAACAGGCATTGACTGGGAGTTTTACATGCATGTTCTCATGAATAGTAAGCATGAACTAAGCCCTTTCTATGTGTTAGGTACAATGCTAGGGGTTTCAGAGATCCCATGCAGTCCATCCAACAACCCTGTGAGGTAAGCACTATATTACCCCTTATAGAGTTTAGGCATTCCTAAGACCACCCTCACTTTTGACACTGACTACAAATTCGGGGGTTTCCAAGATCACCCTCAGGTACTAGAAGGATTCTCAGAACCCACGGTTTTGATGTATCACAGTGAAAGGAGACATTTTCAAATCAGATGGAGAGGCACACAGGCCAGGGTCCAGGCTGAGCTTCCAGTGGTCCCTTCCCAGGGACCTCACCAGAGCGGAAACCCATTGTCATCGACAGCAATGCTGTGTGACAGTACACAAGGAGCATGGCCCATCAGGGATGCTCACCTGAGCCAGGCTGTCCAGAGTTTTCATTGGACTCACACATGGTAGGATGCAGTGACTTGGTCTCCAGCCCCTCCAGAGGTAGGGCTGAGTGGGCATGGCCCAACGCCCTCCACCATGAGTTTCTGTTATCACAGAGGATCAGGCCTGGCCAAAGTCTCCAGATAAAGACCCTTTTACCAGGCAGGGAACTCCAAGTAGCTAGAGACTACCTCCCTCCCTCCCAGCAGCCTGGGGACAAAGGCACGAACTCTCATTGGGCAGGGGGAAGCATAGTGGTTAAGCGCTCTGCTAGTAATTTCAAGGTTTCTCCAGAGAAATATCTGCCAGTCTGCTTCCATAAAGATTTATAACATTTGAAACTTGTGGGGGCAGTTCTATGTTGTCGTGTAGGGTCAGTGTGAGTCAGAATTGACTTGATGACAGTGGACTTGGTTCAGGTGTCTGAGCAGTAGCTAAGCACTGTGGCTGTTAACTTAGAGGTTGCTGGCTTAAACCCTCACAGTGACTCCTTTAGAGACCTGGTGTGGTGCTATAGGATAAGCACTGGACTGTTAACTGATAGGTCAGTGGTTCAAACCCACCAGTCACCCCTCAAAAACCCTATACAGGGTCGCTATGAGTTGGAATCGACTCAACGGCCCTTCACAACAACAAAGGTTCCTTGGGAGAAAGATGTGGCAGTCTGCTTCCATAAAGATTGTAGCTTTGAAAACCCTGTATGGCAGCTCTGCTCTGTCCCATAGGGCCACTGTGAGTCTGGTGGAAATTCTCTCCTGAAGAAGTCTTGGCAGGGAAAGGTTAAGAGCTCAGCTGCTAACCTAAAGGATGGAAGTTCAAACCCAGCCAGCACCTTCACAGGTGAGACCTGAGATCCCCTTTCATAAAGATGATAGCTCAGAAAACCCCATAGGGCAAGTCCTCTGTCACATCAGGCCGCTGTGATTCGGAATAGACGAGACGGCTCCCAACAACACACCTTTCCTGCACGTCTCTATTTTACCAAGAGGAAGCCAAAGATAAAGAGAGGTGGAGTGAGTAATCCAAGCTCACACATCAAGTGCAGAGTCAGTGTTTGACTGCCACTCCTCCTTTCCTCGGAGTCCTAATACACTGGACCGCAAGGATGGTTTGAACCACTAGGTCGATGGTTCAAACTTACCAGTCGCTCCTCAGAAACGCTATATAGGGTCCCTATAGTTGGAACTGACTCGATGACACTTAACAACAACCACCTCCTTACCTCTCCAGCCAAGTCTCCAATGGTCCCTCTGTCTTTAAAGGCCGTGGGCTCTAGAAGACACCTCCCTTCTGCTGAGGTATCTCACATGCCCAGGAAACAGTCTTGGGTAAACTCCCCCTGGGAGAAAGTGACCATGAAGGTTATATTCTCTAGGGAGCTCAACGTCTGCTCCAGGACAGGTAGAGGACTCAGAGACTGCTCGTACCATCCTGCAGCCATGGATGTTGTTGTGAAGTGCCATCGAGTTGGTTCCGACCCATAGGGGACCTGTATAGGGTTTCCGAGGAGCAGCTGGTAAGCTTGAACCGCCGACCTTTCAGTTCAAATGGCTTTGCAGTCTGGTGCACTCACCCACAGTGCCACACCAGGACTCCTCTCAGGAAAAGCCAGACAGCCTCTATCTGCTGCAGCGTCTTGGAAATGATGAGTCACTGTGTGACCTTGGATGAACCAGTCACTTCTCTGTGTCTTTGTTGGATGAAAACGCTGAACCAAACACCATGCTTTCTCTCATCTCCAGAATCCTGAGCCTGCTTGTTGTTTAATTTAAACACTGCAAAAGCCAGACCAAAAAAACCACCACTGTTGTTCAGCGCCGTGGAGTCACTGCCAACTCATAGTGACCGTATGCACAATAGAATGCAACATCGCCTGGTTCTGTGTCATCCTTACAAGTTTTGTTGTTTCAGCCCATTGTTGCAGCCGCTGTATCATTCCAAAGTATGTGATAGGAAGACTAGTCATTCTCACTTTCAAGGAGCATTCTTGTTGTACTTCTTCCATGACAGATTTGTTTGTTCTTCTGGAAGTCCATGGTATTTTGAGTATTCTTCCACCATACTATAATTCAAATGCCTCGACTATCCTAAGTCTTCCTTATTCATCATCCAACTTTGACATGATTATGAGGCTATTGAAAATACAATGGCTTCAGACAGGCTCACCTCAGCCCTCAAAGTGACATCTTTGCTCTTTAATACTTTAAAGACGTTTTTTGCAGGAGATTTGCCCAATGCAAAATGTCATTTTGTTTACTGACTGCTGCTTCCATAAGCCCTGATTGTAGATCTAAGCAAAATGAATGAATCTTTGACAATCTTCTCCATGTATTCTCATGTTATTTATTGGCCCACTTGCAACAGTGAAGCCAATATAAACCAGAATTCATCGGGACTGCCTTGTGTTTCTGAGGCTCACAAGTTTCACCTTTGACAGGGTACAGTCTTACCACGTTATAATCACTTGTTTTATTGGAAAATAGTTTGAATTTTTTTTTTTCTGGCAGGTTTCTGCCTTGCACGGGTTCTGATTTTTATAGGTTTTCTTTGTGGGTATAGGGGTTTTGTGTGTGTGTGTGTGTGTGTGTGTGTGTGTTTTTAACTTTTGATTCACCCTGTAATCTAAATGTACTCCGAATTCTTTGAAAAGAGACTTCTATTTCAGAAAATAGAATCCCCTTGCTCTTGCTGGTGGAGGAAGCAGAAGTCTGCTTTATGTAAGAGCTGGTGAAGTCCTGGGCTCAACAGGACCTTGAAAAGTTATCTGACCTGGTTTGTCCAGGAGCTGAAGCTAGCTCAGAGGAACACATGTCCTTCCTTCTTACGGGTTTTCCCGGGAGGAGAAATGTTCCTTAGGTTGCTCATTCTGGGAGTTTACATATTCTGTCAGGAAGAGTTTTTTGTTATCTGCGCTGAGCCCCTTATGCTTTACCGCCTCCGAGAAAGAAGCCTTCCCAGCCTGCCTGTGCCCATCTCTATTCAGCCCCCGGGGGTCCATTCTCCAGCTGTCCTGCTGTGTCCTCTTTGCCTTTCAGAAGAGATTAACCAGTGGGAAGGCACTAACAGGAGACGGAGGGTGGGAAGAGAGAGCTGTCAGAGGATTTACTCCTCTGGACTCTTCTCTCTTCCTAGGTGCTGTGTTCCCCATGGCGGCTCCTCTCCTGGGCTCTAATGACATGGCTCCATCTCACACCTTCATGCATGTGTTAGTCCATGAGCTTCTCAAGTCTTCTCCTTGGTTCCTTTAACCCTTCCCATGAACCCTCTTGTGAGAATGCCATGTTTCCGTTTTGTCTCTAACTGATACAAGACCCCATCCTGCTTCTAAATTCTTTATAGCCTTTAACACACTGTGTAAGTCTTTTATTTATTGTCTGTCTCTCTTGCTGGAACTACATCACCATCAGGGCAGACGCCTTGCTGTTCTTGTCTATGACTCTACCCTAAATACCTAGAACATTGCTTGGCATGGGACATGCTTAAAACATATTAATTGAGTGAAGAACTCCGTGAAACTGGCATGGCCTCGTGCTCATCCCCGAGTCAAAGGCCCCTGCAGACAGTGTCGTGCCCAGCGCTTGGCCCATCATCTGTTTCTGGGTTTGGTTGTGGGGGTGTGAGGGAGAACCTGGGGAAAGGGAAAGTCGGCTTTTCCATCCAGCTTGTGGTTGGCTTCACCTGTAAAGCCACAGGGGGAATTACAACAATGGTTCTCAACCTGGTCATGCTCCCGTCCTGAGGGGACACTGGACAAGGTTTGGAACTTTCTGGACTATCACAGTGTGGGAAGAGAACGCTACCAACATCTAGTGCAGGCGTGGGGAATGTCCAGTGGGCTGTGTGTTGTTGTTGCTGTTGTTGTTACATGCCGTCGAGTTGGTTCTGACCCATAGCGAGCCTGCATAGGGTTTCCTAGGAGTGGCTGGTGACCTTGAACTGCCGACATTGCAGTTCAAACTGACCTTGAAGTGCAGAGCATTAACCCACATCACCACACCAGGACCCACAAATTCATTTCGTCTGGCCCTGTCAAGGCAACTGCCAGTCCAGCCATTACTTGATAGCAGGCTGATTTTTAAGTTAATTTTGTATGGCCCACAAATGATGTTATAAATACCCAAATGGTCCTTAGCAGAAAAAAAGGTTCCCCATCCCTGACCTAATGGGTGGAGGCCAGGGATACTGCTAAACATACCACAGTGCACAGGACAGACCCTGCCACAAGATGATTCCGCCCCAAATGGCAATCTTGCTGAGGTTGGGCAGCATAAGTGTGCTCTGAAATCTCTGAAAAGAATCTTTCTAGTTCAGAAAATGGATCCCCTTTGTTCCTACTGGCTGAGATAAAAAAATAATTAAAACTGCTATGTTTAAGAACTTGAAATTTCCTGAGCTCAAAAAAACTTTGAAAAGTTTTCTGGTCTGGCTTGTCCAGCTCCAAATGGCAAAACTGCTGAACCTGAGAAACCCTGGTTAGGAGTCTCCAAAGCCCATCACAAACATACCACAGCACACCACATCCTGTTCCTCTCCTTTGTTCAATATGTCCTTGTACCTCTTGCAGGGTCTCCGTGCCTGAGACCTGGGCCAAGTTCAGCAACGACAACATCAGGCACTCTCAGAACATGCGGGCCAACTCCATTCGGTTGCGGGAGGAGGCGGAGCATCTGCTTGAGTCCTTGTCGGATCAGATGTGGAAGCAATTTACCAACACCAACCTGGCTTTCAATGCCCGAATCGCTGAAGTGACGGATGTTAAGAATAAACTGCAAACACAGCTGGCCAAGGTAAGCCAGATGTGCCTGGGGACCTGAAAGACCCTTGTCTACACTGCTAAAAACCATACCTTCCCAAAATAAAACAGGAGGGAAGTTGGGAGAAGAATGACAAAAGGCAGGGGAAGACACAGGAGAAGTGCAAGAGTTAAAAGGAATAGAGGGTAAATACTGTTATGTACACAAACATTTAATAACAGTATCTATGGGTAGACACAAGGAGCTCTGGTAGCGTAGTGGTTACGAATCGGGCTATGAACTACAAGGTCGGCTGTTCGCAACTACCAGCTGTTCCACGGTAGAAAGATAAGGCTTTCTGCTCCTGTAAAGTTATACAGCCTCGGAAACCCTGTGCCGGGTCACTATGAGTAGGTACTGACTCCATGGCACATAACAACAACAATAATAGGGAGAAACATGGAAAGATACACAGTCTAACCTGGTTGTTGTTGTTAAGTGCCGCTGAGTCAGTTCCAACTCACAACAACCCTGTATAGGGTTTCCGAGGAGCAGCTGGTGGGTTTGAAACTGTCAACCTTGAGGATTGCAGTGCAGTACTGACCCAACAGCACCCCATGAGGAGTCCTTGGAAACCCTATATCGGGTTGTTACGAGTTGGAGTCGATTCAACAACACCTAACAACAACACCAGTTATAATGTGGTTCTTTCTCAGTTCATTTTGATTTATAACATGACTCACGTATCATCACTGGAATTAATTGCTTTAGAACTTCGTTACCTTTTCTCTATTTAGAGCCAAGAGCTCTTTCCCTAGCTCTCTTCTCCATTCTGGACATTCCCTACCCTTACTGAACTGGTTGTTTGTTGTTGTTAAGTACCGTGGAGTCAGTTCCGACTCATAGTGACAATAAATAAATAGCACAGGGTTTCCATGGCTATAAATCTTTACAGGAGCAGAAAGCCTCATCTTTTCCCCCCAGAATGGCTGGTAGTTTTGAACTGCTGACCTTGAGGTTAGCAGCCCGACTCGTAACCACTACACTATCAGAGCTGCTAAGCGGGAGTATATTCACAAATCTATAAAGGTTTAACAGAGGATACCTGTACATGGGTATTTACCTTTGCTACAAATACAGCTATGAATATGGTGATTTATTATATGGCTAAGTGCCATGGATTGGTTCTGACTTATAGAGACCTTGTACTCAAAGAGATCTTGGGTTTCAAGTCTGTAAATCTTTGTGGGAGCAGAAAGCCTCACCTTTCTCTTATGGAGATGCAGAGGGCTTCTGAACATAGTACTTGTTGTTAAGTTGAGTCGGTTCCGACCCATAGTGACCCTGTATAGGGTTTCCAAGGAACAGCTGTTGAGCTTGAACCGCCGACCTTGCAGTTCAAACAGCTTTGCAGTCTGGCACATTAACCCACAGCACCACACCAGGAATCCGAACACAGTGCTACAGGGGTCAAATTATGAAAAGTTCTTAGACATTACCAAACACCTTGAGGGATGAGTTGCTGGGCCTGCGGGCTCAGGACCATAGGCTGGGGGGCACCATGGACAATTGGTATAACACAGTCCACAAAGACAACATTCTTACATCCTACTTTTGTGAGTAGCAACTAGGATCTTACAAGCTTATGAATGGCCCTGTAAGTGCAAGTCTTGGTCTCTCACTGAGTGAAGGAAGGAAGGACTGATGAAAGGTGAAGACGCTTGGATTCAATGAGTCCAGTAAACATCCATCTCCATGACCCTGAGACCAGAAGAACTAGATGATACCCAGCTACTACTACCAACTGTTCTTAAAGGGATCACATTAGAAGGCTCTGGAAAGAATCGGAGAAAATGTGGAACAAATCTCAAAATTTTGTAGAATACGGGACTTGCTGGTCAGAAAGAGACTGGAGGAACCTGAGATTAGGGCCTTTGACCACTCTTTAGATCTGGAACTGAATTCATTCCTGGGGTGAAGAGGTAGGGGGGACAACAACGCTAATAAGGGGTGCTCACCATGGAATGGTCAATCCTTCAAGATCTAAAGGGCATCATTTACTTTAGGAAACAGTTCAGAAGGGTTGGGAAGGAGTGTGGAATAGATACAAGAATCACAGTGAGGAAGTGGGATAAGTGATGTTACATGGAGGGGATTGTAATTATTGAAATGAAATGAAGTGTCTGATTTGTAGAATGTAAAACTGATGATCTGCTCTATAAACCTTCACTCAGTTCACAGTAAAAAGTTCAACACACAAACACTCTCCATCTTCCTCCTGTGGGTCTTAGCAGCATCCTGGCCAAGTCACCCACTCACTCCTGGTGCTGAAATGGTCCCATGTATTCTATGGTCTGTGGTTTGTTCACCCCAAGAGTTGTGAGCTTTCTAGGAGGACTCCAACATCTGGGCTGAATCTGCCTTTGCTCACTGGATGATAGAGCTTGGAGTGTGGCCTGGCTGCCGCTATAGTATAGAATGGTCCCTTCATCTTCTAGCTGAGGATCATGTAGCTGGAGATGAAGCATGTGTAGCTGTCATTTGTTGTGTTGTTGTTAGGTGCCATTGAATCGGCTCCTACTCATAGCAACCTTATGCAAAACAGAACGAAACACTGCCTAGTCTTCTGCCAACCTCACAATTGTTGTTATGCTTGAGTCCACTGTGCCAATCCATCGTGTTGGGGGTCTTTCTCTCTTTTGCTGACTCTCCACTTTACTAAGCATGATGTCCTTCTCCAGCAACTGGTCCCTCCTGACAAGGTGTCTAAGATATGAGAGACAAAGTCTGGCCATCCAAGCTTCTAAGGAACATTCAGGCTGTACTCCTTCCAATACAGATTTGTTTGTTCTTTTAGTATTCTTCTCCAACACCAACTCAAATGCATCAATTCTTCTACGGTCTTCATTATTCACAATCCAACTTCACATGCATATGAGATTATTGAAAATACTATGGCTTGGGTCAAGCGCACTAGTCCTCAAACTGACATCTTTGCTCTTGAACACTTTAAAGAGGTCTTGTGAAGCAGATTTACCTAATGCTATGCATCCTTTGATTTCTTGACTGCTGCTTCCATGAGCAGCTGATGGTTGATCTGAATAAAATGAGGTCATGGAAAATGTCAATCTTTTCTCCATTTATCTTGATGTTATCTATTGGTTCAGTGGGGAAGATATTTGTTTTCTGAAAGTTGAAGTGCAACCTAGACCAAAGGCTGTGGTCTTTGATCTTTATCAGTAAGTAGTTTAAGTCCTCTTTACTTTCAGCAAGCAAACTTGTATCATCTGCATATTGCAGGTTGTTAATGAGTCTTCCTCCAGCCCTTATGCCACATTTTTCTTTACATAATCTAATTTCTTGAATTATTTGTTCAGCATACAGATTGAGTAAGTATGGTGAGAGAATACAACCCTGGCAGCCACCTTACCTATTTTTAAACAATTCAGTGATCCCTTGTTCTGTTCCAACAACTGCCGCTTGGTCTATGTACAGATTCCTCATAATAGAATTAAGTATTCTGGAATATCCATTTCCAAAATGTTATTCCTCATTTGTCATGATCTACACAGTTGAAAGGCTTTGTGTAGTCAATAAAGCACAGATAAACATCTTTCCAATATTCTCTGCATTCAGCAAAGATCCATCTGATTTCAGCAATGATATCCCTCGTTCTATGTCCTTGTATGAATCTGGTTTGAACCTCTGGCAGTTCTCTGTCAATGTACTGTTGCAGCTTTTGAATTATCTTCAACAAAGTTTTGCTTGCATGTGACATTAATGGTATTGTCCCATGATTTCCACATTCTGTTGAGAATGTCATAGCCCCAGACAATCATTGCTTCGGCCAATCAGAGCTGAGCTCTGCTCATATCAGTATCTTTAGAAATGTAATCCTTTGACTTTCTGAGGCTACAACTGCACATGATCCCCTTGTTGAGGTTTGGGGTGCTTCTTGAATTTACAGAGTAGTAAGCCCTGCCTAATTGTATCACCTCTCTCCCGTTACACCCACACTCTTATACCCTGGCACCACCCTCTGGCTCCAATGTTTCATGTACTTTCACCCTTCTGGGATGACTCACAGGGAATCCTCTCTGCATGGAATTTACCCTCCTGATGCTTACTCAATGCCAACTGGCAAACTGCACACTCAGTGCCAGATGTCAAGTCAGAAGTGTTGGCCTCATCTGGAAAATGTTAGCACCTGGACTGTACAACAGTTGGGGTTCTCACCTAGCCCCAGGAAGCTGCATTGGGAGACCAGGTCTTCACGGCTTGCCATGTAAGGTTTCCAGCCCCTGTGGCTTAGGACTATGTAGACAGCTGTGTGATCCTGGGGCTTCATGTCTGAGGCCATGCCCCAAACCTTATCACTTCCCCTGGGCTTTGTCTTTGCAGAAGCACTTTGAACTCTGGAGACTTTCCTGGTATGTCTTAGGATGGGTTCTCTAGAGACCCACAAAACCAGTGAAACTTACATGTGGATATATACATGGCTATAAAGAGAAGTTTGTATCAAGGAAACAGCTCACAATTATAGAGGTGGGAGAGTCCCAAGTCTGGTTAGATGAACCAAGATTGGCAAGCAGGTCTGGCAGGCAGATAATAAAGCAGGCCACGGTTCAAGTCCAAAGAACCAGAGGTTGGAGGACAAGTCAGATGCAAGACCCAGACCCAAGAGAACATTAGCAAGCTTTGCCTGAGTATCCATTATATTGGAAACAAGCCACCCACCACCACCCCACCCCATCCCCACCAGAGGGCACATCCTTTCAATTGATTGACTGCTCATAGCCAATCTTCATAGAGTTAACTATGCCTGCTCAGAGCCAATCATTATCGAGTTAATGACACTGTATTAAATTTCACATGGGATAACCACATCTCAATGGCCAAACCACTGGGAATCCTGGCCTAGTCAAGTAGACATAAAACCTGAACTATCACATGGTGAGAATGCTGGTTACAAGAAGAGGGCTGGTGACTTCTCAGGGATGAAGTAGTTGATGACCACAGAGTTGCCTGTCTTAGGAGTCTCCAGTTAGGGAATC